GGACGCCTGGGTTCCCTGGGCGCTGGGAGGGCGGGGGCTGGGAGCCCGGACGCCTGGGTTCCCTGGGCGCTGGGGAGCCCGGACGCCTGGGTTCCCTGGGCGCTAGCAGGGCGTTCCCCCCACACCCCCAAGGGGAAGCTGACTCCGAAAAGAGCCCCGGTGACTCATCGCTTTGCCTGGGGCAGTTTCGGTTTCCCCGGGAACGAGGAACCGGCCCCCGCCCCCGCAGATGGCAAGTGACCGACCCTCAGCCCTCCCTGGCGCCGCCCCCGAGAGCTCTCACAGCGCCGGGGAGCAGATAAGGAGACACCAACCAGCCGGGAGACGAGCTATCTGCACACAACAGAGGGGAAACTGAGGCACACAGCCAGGGAGAAACTTAACTGCAGTCACGTGGTGGGTGAGTGCTGAAGAACCCAGGAGTCCTGGCTCCCAGCCCTCTCCCCTGCCCCCCCCGCTCTAACCACTAGCCCCCACTCCCCTCCCAGAACCAGAGAGAGAACCCAGGAGTCCTGGCTTCCCCCCCCCTGCTCTAACCACCAGCCCCCACTCCCCTCCCAGAACCAGGCAGAGAACCCAGGAGTCCTGGCTCCCTACTCTACCCCTTTCATGGGCTCCCTGTATAAACAGCCCCCCGCGCCCCACCCCAGAGGCAGCCGCATCGCCAGCTTCCGCTCACACACCTCTTCCTCCCCAGCCATGATGGCCCCCCAAGATTTCCAAACCTTCGTCTTCTTCGACCTGGAGACCACCGGCCTGCCCCCGGACCGCCCCCGCATCACGGAGCTGTCTCTCTTCGCCCTGCACCGCCACTCCCTCCTGCAGTGCCCGCCGCAGGACGCCCCCGCCCCCCGGCTGCCCCGCGTCCTGGACCAGCTCACCCTGTGCATCGACCCCCAACAGCCCTTCACCCCGGAAGCCGCCCGCATCACGGGACTGAGCCAGCAGGACCTGGAGGAGAACGGGAAGCGGGGCCTGGACCGGGCCGTGGCTCAGGCCCTGGGCGGGTTCCTAGCCCGCCAAGCCCCCCCGCTCTGCCTGGTGGCCCACAACGGCTGGAGCTACGACTTCCCCCTGCTGCGGACGGAGCTGGCGCGCGTTGGGGCCGAGCTGCCCCCCGCCACCGGCTGCCTGGACACACTGCAGGCCATGAAGGAGCTGGGTCTGGGGGGTCAGGGGGGGTACAGCCTGGGGGCGCTCTTCCGGGGGCTCTTCGGGAGGGACCCCGACGGGGCCCACTCGGCTGAGGGAGACGTCCGCACCCTTATCGCCATCTTCCTCGCCAGGGCGCCACAGTTGATGAGCTGGGCGGCGGGGAAGGCCCGGGCCTGGGGGGACGTGACCCCCATGTACCTCCCCACCACGCAGTGAGCGTCTTGGACTGGGAGGGGAGTGGGGTCGGAGCCAGGATGCCTGGGTTCTCTCCCCGGCTCTGGGAGGGGAGGGGGTCTGGTGGTTAGAGCAGTGGGAGCTGGGAACCAGGACACCTGGGTTCTCTCTCTGGCTCTGGGAGGGGAGTGGGGTCTGGTAGGTTAGAGCAGTGGGGGCTGGGACTCCAGGACTCCTGGGTTCTCTCCCTGGCTCTGGGAGGGGAGGGGGGCTGGTGGGTAGAGCAGGGGGGGATGGGAGCCAGTTCTCCTGGGTTCTCTCTCTGGCTCTGGGAAGGCAGTGGGGTCTGGCGGGTTAGAGTGGGGATGTGGGGCTGGGAGCCCGGACTCCTGGGTTCCCTGTGGACGCCTCTCTCCGTTCGTCAGATCATCCAGGGATCTGGGGTTGGGTAATGAAATTATTTTATTGAGCAACTGATTTGAATGCCCCCCCCCGTGTTTTTCCTGTTAATAAACACACACCAGGCTCGGAGCCGCATGCTTTGCTGAGTTGAGTCTTTGCGTCGGGTTTGGGGCCCTGGGGGAAATCGGGGTGCAGGTGTCCAGCATGTGACTGTCACCCCAAAAGACTGCAGTTCCCAGGTCCACCAGCAGAGAGCAAAGGGTCCCTGTATTAACAGCCCCTGCGCCCCACCCCAGAGGCAGCTGAATCTCGGCGCTGGGTGAAGGGTCCCTGTATAAACAGCCCCCACCCCAGAAGCAGCCGCACCCCAGCCCTGGAAATCAGACTGGAGAAGCTTTGAAAGGTTTTCCCTCTTTCTCTTTTTATTTGGTTTTTGTTACTTTTGTTCTCTATATTTTGGGGGGCACGCTGGCGGAATGATGGGGGGGGCTTCGCTGGTTTATTAGTGTGTCCTTGTCTTTACTTTGTCGACGTCAGTTTTCTTTTGGCGGAGATGGGAGGAAAAATAAATCTCACGACACCGAGCGAGGGGGCCTGAACGAACGAACCAAAACTCACGAGCACGGCACGACTTGGAGCGCAGACATGGCGTATAGAGATATAGAGGCAGTGCTTCCGGGGGGCAGGGGGGCCCGGGGACGAGGGGGGGCTAAGAGGGGAAGGGATGGAGACAGTGGGTGGGGAGAAATAGAAGGGATGTGTGGGGATGGATGGGGGGTGGATGAGGATAGATAAAGGGGGGTGTACGGGGATGGATGGATAGATACAGGGTGGATGGGGATAGAGAGATGGGGGTGTACGGGGATAGATGAGGATAGATAAAGGGGGGTGTATGGGGATGGGTGGATAGATAGATAGAGGGGGTGGATGCAGATAGATACAGGGTGGATGGGGATAGATGGGCAGGTGGGCAGGGAAGAGATCGATGGATTGATGGCTATATAGATAGACTGTCCCCGGACACCTGGGTTCTACACCACCTTCCCCACACCCCCTCCAGTGGAAAGCGGGCTACCATGGGAAGGCCCCAGTCTGCCCCACCACGACTGGTCACTGCAGAAGGGGCATGGATTGGGGGTGACGGGTGCTGTTTGGGGGGGTGACGGGTGCTGTTTGGGGGTGACGGGTGCTGTTTGGGGGGGTGCCCCTCCCCCACTTCCTAGAGTCCCCCCTCGGCGTGACATTCCCCCCAGCGGGGAATGGGGTGGGTATGGAGGCCCTAAATTACCCCCCCCAGCACTCCCCACATGCCCCTCCTCCATCCCCTGCCCTGTGTACCCCACTCAGTTCCAGTCCCCCAAACATGCTGGGCCCCCCCAAATCTCCCCCAAGCTGCTGATCCCCCTGAACCCTGAAATCTCCCCCACAGCCATCAATAGATGGGGTGGGGTGCAGGGCACAGCTATCTATAGCCAGGAATGGGGGGGGTGCGTGGGGGGG